TCAAAGTTTGGTGCCAGTAACCAACAAAATCTGGGTTAATAAATGCATTTTCATGAGGCACCAAAAACTCAACGGAGCTGCTACCATGGGGCATGGGGTGAGATCCCAGAGACTAGATTCTGCAACTGAAAAAGGCCTGGCTTAGCCTAGGTTACCACTAGATGTAATTTGGCAGGCCACAGCACAACCAGAAGCTTTCCAATTATTACAGCTGTCAACTGATTAAACAATTTGCATTATCAGCATTCTGAATTTCAAGTATTTGACTGACTTTTTAAAATAATAATAATAATAATAACCATCTTGAGATCATGTTTTTTTTAATTATATTGAAACAAATGTAACCTAACTGGGTTTTTTCTTCTTCAAATGAAATCTGTGGCCAATTCTTAGGAGAAATCATTATTCATACTGATTTTTTCACAGTAATGCACCACAAACAGGTTAAAACAAACAGGTTAAAGCAAATTAATTGAGTGAGCTCTTTAGCTCCGTGCCTCACTGAGAAAGCAATCCTGTACATGTATACTCAAAAGTAAATCTCACTGAATTTAATGGGGTCAGTGGGCACCAGATTACGGCTGAAAGCTTTAGGTGACAGCTAGACCAATTAAAGTTTGATTATTGCAACTGCAACTTTAGCAAATGCTGTAATGGCATTGGGACACATCTTTGTTTCCTAGTCTTCTACTCAGTCACAACCCTTTTGTCAACCTTTCCAAGAGAGTGAAAATCAACTTTCTCATCCTGCTAATTAATACTTACCTTAAATTTATGTCTCTAAATAATGCCATTTTCTCATTTCAGAAAGATACAAGGGTCTGAAAGTGTTGGTACATTTATACTAGGTTGCCTGATGTCAAGAGCTTTAGTCCCCTAAGCACAAAATCAGTTGGTTGTTAATGGCTTGAGTTGTTTTCCCTTGATGGTAGAGAAAACAATATTGGAGCTAGGGAATCATTTTCTGTTCAAAATGATTCCCTACTCCCAAAAGAAGAAAGTGTGCTTTTATGTTAGGAAACCAGAAATAATGAGGCAAAACACCAAGTATGGCGTAGAATGAGGACCACTTTATTAAATATAGAAGAACATACTCAACTTATAAATGACAATATGTACAGAAGCATCTTCAGACTCTATCAGGCTCTTGTCTGTTAACTGGGTAAGCCTACACTGAAGGGAGTCAAGCTGGCCTTAATTTCCAACTCCTCTTGCCACAGTAGGGCATGCCATTTTAGGTGGTGAAACTTAATTTTTGCAAATTTCAATAAAGGGTGGACACCACAGAAATAATCGTCAATTTCATTTCGCCCACAGGAGGAGAGATGTATAGTGAGGAGAGTCTGTACCATTGAATGTGAACTGCACTCAGCCATAATTCCCTCCTCATCCAACTGCATACACTTTTGCTCATGATAGCTGTGTAATGGGTTTGCAGATGGACATGTACCTGTCACACCACACCCTTAAAGGTGAGGAGGAACTCCTTCCTGATTCATGGCCCATCAAGACTGCAAAACCCAAAATGGGTGACACAGGTTAAGCTCAACAGTGAGCCATACCCTTCGCCATGACATCACAAAGCGTGAAATACTCTGGCATCACAGTTTACCTCAAACATGCCTCAAGGAACTCATCACCCGTTTCAATCTATTCCTTTCCCATTCACACCTGCAACACGAAAAGGATAACTTAGTGCTTCTTCCTCCACTGCTCAACTATTACTGCTCTTAACCCCTTATGAAGGTCAGAAGGAATGTCTCCACCCCCATCGTTCAGTCCGAACACTGAGGTCCAGCTCCGAGGGCCTTCTGGTGGTTTCTTCACTGCAAGAAATGAGGTTACAGAGAACCAGGCAGAGGGCCTTCTCGGTAGTGATGCCCACCCTGTGGAACACCCTCCCATCAGATGTCAAGGAAATAAACAACTATCTGACTTTTAGATGACATCTGAAGGCAACCCTGTTTAGGGAAGTTTTTAATTTTTGAAGTTTAATGTGTTTTTAATATTCTGTTGGGAGCCGCCTAGAGTGGCTGGGGAAACCCAGCCAGATGGGCAGGGTATAAATAAGAAATTATTATTATTATTATTATCATCATCATCATCATCATCATCATCATGATCATCATCATCAGAGAGTATAATGTCATTCCCTAAGTCTGACAAGTGGACTCCATCAGCTCTGTAAAGTTCCTGTCTCATGTGTGTAATCCCATATAGTTTCAGATTTACAGTTATCTCTCTCTGCACCTTCTAGGAAAATATGGATGTCTTGATCTTAGATTGGGTGTTATTATTTAATTTGGTTTATCTGTCCTTGTGGTTCTATAGCAATTTGAAAACTAATTAAAAAAAACTTAAACCCCTTTAACAAGTTGCCCCTTCAAAAAAAAAAAGGAGCCACTTAAAAACTGCTTTTTTATACCATATATGATATAATTAAATTCCACCTTAACTATGAAAAGGCTATTGCAACCTTCCTAAAAATACTTATAAATAAACAGAGTAATACCAGAAAGGCTTATTCCCCTTAAGGAGAAAATGGAAGTGTCTTTTGTAACACATATCACAGCTTTTAGTACTGACCATAGATATTACCGGTACTTCATGGATCACTGCCTTGTCGTGGCGAAGGGGCTTGAACAACTCAGAGAAGCTGTGAGCTATGCCGTGCAGGGCCACCCAAGATGGACAGGTCATAGTGGAGAGTTTTGACCAAACGTGATCCACCTGGAGCAGGAACTGGCAAGCCACTCCAGTATCCCTGCCAAGTAAACTCCATGGACAAAGATAACAGGCATATAAAAGTTATGAAGACAGAAGTGCCTGGCGTGCTCTGGTCCATGGGGTCACAAACAGTTGGACATGACTAAACGACTAAACAACAACAACAACAACAACAACAACATAGATATTAGAGGTGTGTACTGAACACAAGATTTGGTTTGGACCTTGACCAGATGATTCAGAAAGTGGTGTGTTTTGGCCTGCACCACTTCAGAGGCTACTTGCTTTGCTCAGACCCAAAACAGAACCTTGTTCTGGAACAACGAAGCTTCAAGTTTCCCCATTCACTATAATAGGAATATTTAAAATGTTTGTAATGCCTTAACTTTTTGAAAGAACTGCTTGAGTATAGGATTGTGCCTATAGAAACCACTCTCTCACTTAAACAATCCAACATTTTTTCTTCACTCTAAGTAACAGAGCAATATACGCAGAAATATAGATATTTAACAGTCTTCATCATCAATCACCACCAGTTGAGTCTCTGTTAGCATATATATGAAATTAGGATTTTTTTTACCCCATATGAATCTCTTACATTGAATTACACTTGCCAGTTATATATCTTTGAAGATCTTTGCTATCCTTTTTTTGTTTTCATCATCCCAAATAACCTGGTTTGTTTAGCAAGCTTGGCCACCTCACAGTTCACCCCAACGCCAAATCATCTCTGAACCACCTAAGCACCAGCACCAAGTTGGATTGCGGGGGCGGGGGGGGGCAGATTGTAAAGTTGCATAATAATTTTTGGATAATAACAAGCAGAATTTGTATTTTTATTTATTCATAAATAATTAATATGCAAATCATGAATCACCTTTCTCATTTTCAAGAAACCCTTTCTTATATTGACAAAGCTACTTTTGAAATGGTAGTTGCATATGTTAATAAACTTTACATACTTCTAAGCCAAGCGAAACATAGGGCTAAGCAAAAGACAGAAGACAAGCTCACTGAGAGATGGTCCATATCGATAAATCACTGGAACAATCAATTTCAAGCCAATGTGCAACCAATGTGATTTGAAAATCTAAATTCCAACACGTCTATATTTGTGCCTTCTACTTGTTTATTTTTCTGGTTTTGCACGGTAATAGCAATCAATACAATCTCCATATCTATCCCTTCTAAGCATTAAGAACCTTCTAAAAATCTACCTGTAGTACTACAGCTACTACTACCACTATGTTCTCATTTTTATTTCTTGTAGATACTGTACGTACAAATATATTATTTTTCTTCCTTTTGGTTACTTTATGAAGGCTTGTGAAAATCTCTATTTGAAATAATAAGGTATGGATGATATCAAATATATTCAGAGCTCAGACCTATTAAAATCAATGAATGTACATTACTAAAATTCAGCGGTCTCATTGTGCCAGCCTGGCACAACGGGTATAACTAACATTGAATATCATCCTGTATAACTCTGGATATATATAGATAATGAGCATTAGTTTTTATTCCTATTTTTTCTTTTGTTTTACAATTCTCTCCCCTCCCCAACCTTCAGGTAAATCAAAGAGCTAACCCATTGCTATATTCTTTCCAGTATGCGACTGCTACATTTATCTTGAAATCCCGAGTCTCTCCATTCCTTTAATCAAGGCATCCTTCACATCTTTGTTCCTGAGGCTATAAATCAGGGGATTCACGAACGGGATCAACACTGTGTAGACCACTGCGATTATTTTATCCTGCTCCAAAGAGTAGCTGGAACTGGGTCTCAAGTACATAAAGAGGAGGGTCCCATAGAACAAACTGACGGCGGTTAGATGAGAAGTACAGGTGGAGAAAGCTTTGTGCTTGCTGTCATTGGAGCGTATTCTGAGGATGGTAGAGAAGATGCAGGTATAAGAAATGAGAACTATGGACGTGGTGGTAACTTCATTGAATCCAACAATAGTAAAAACAAGGATTTGGTTGAGAGTGGTATCAGAGCAGGCCAACTTCATCAATGGTGGCCCATCACAAAAGAAATGGTTAATGACCTTAGAATCACCAAAGGACACTGTTAAGGAAAAACCTATCTGTACTGTTGCATTTAGGAAGCCCACCACAAAAGAAGCAAACACCAACAAAACACATAGTCTTTCAGACATGATGACCGTGTACATCAGTGGGTTACAGACGGCCACATAGCGATCGTATGCCATGGCTGCCAAGAGGTAACATTCTGCTGTTGCCAAAGCAATATAAAAATACAACTGAGTGAAACAGCTAGAGTAGGAGATGGTTTTTCTATGTGATATGAAGCTCACTAGCATCTTGGGTGTTACGACAGAGGAATAGCACAGGTCCAGGAAGGATAAGTTGCTAAGGAAGAAATACATTGGCGTCTGAAGCTGAGAGCAAGTCCTCACGATTACAATGATCCCAGCATTCCCCAATACTGTGATAATGTAGATCATCAAGAAGACTATGAAGAGGATGATTTTCAGTTCAGATCGATCTGTGAGTCCCACAAGAATGAACTCGTTCACTATAGTGCAGTTGTCCCCATCCATGTGCACTTGCAAACATACTGTTATTTGAAAGGATGAAAATAATAAATTTCAGTGTCATAGGTAGCAAATCAGATTTTGAAAAGCTGCTATGAAAAAAAAACAAGATTATTTGACATTCAAAATCTCTTAGGAAATATCATCATTTTTTAGAAAAAAGGAGGAACTTGTCTGAGCAATCTCCAGTTTGATCCTTTAACTGAAAATACACAGGTGTTGTTTCAGTTACTGTTCTTTCTCCTTTTTTTTTAAAAAAGACCCCCTTCTAAATATATTTTTATATTGTGAGAAAATTAAGAATACTGAGCAGTGCAGAGGCACTAGAACAGCAGGATAGAATTTCCTATAAACAATATATAAAAACAAGAAGAAGAATAAAATGGGAGAAAGGGGAAAGGAAATTGTAGGCCACTTTTAACAACTCCAGCAATGATGAGTTATTTGGACTTAAGCTACACCCAGTCGACTTCATTTAAACTCAGTATCATTTCCTCAAGTGCTGGGAATTGATGGTAGCACTGTTTTGTTCATATCCTGTTTATGAGCTTCCCATAAGGATCTGGTTGCTTAGGCCAGGATGCTGAATAAGACAGGTCTTTGGTCAGAGCTCTTCTAATGTTGTCGTTAATGTAACATACTGATGTTACACGCCAAGCCAATAAAGGAGTTCCACATATGGAAGCAAAATTCCACAGATGGAATGTTCTCTATATATGGACATGGGCACCAGGTTAAGGAATATAAGATGACAAATCATATGGGAAAGAAGCAAATCATTTTCTTTACGTCAGCATGGATGTCTCTCACTGATAAATTTAGGTAGAATAGTTATCTCATTTTTAGCCATAAATGCTTTAAATTCATTTTGAATTCTCTGAGAATCTGAGAACAACATCAGCTTGTATACCACAGTGGAGAAAAGGAGAGATCTGTACTCACCACAGTTTCAGGCAACAATTAAAGCAGCCAGGGAAGGGGGTATATTGAAGTTGGTTTCTTAATTATTATTCTAGGTTATTATTCTAGGTCTGAAGTGCATGCCTTCTTTTAGTCATCAGATTCCCAAATGAAGATGTAGTTATTTTATCTTGAAGATCTGGGTTTGGGTAAACCCATTGGGATCCTTCCACCTGATGGACCTCTGCAGTAATAAGTCAAGCTGCTCTGTTAATAATTCTTTGTTTACCTTGTGACTTTGCCAAGATGTTTTTGGTTTGATATGGAGGAATCCCTAAATAATACACAGTGGAAAGATATTATGGATGATACGATTTTGGGTGCTTCACACTGACAGACCTCATTGGAAGGGAATATAAACTTCCACAAACTGTTACAAAAAGTAGCTTTATTATACTGGCCTTTCTTTGTTGGTGAGGTGCCAGGATTTTACAAGACAAAAAAGTAATTTTCTCCATACTGTACTTTAACAACAAAATTCCTGTGGCGGTTCTAGCATACAGAGATTTGTTAGTACAATCTCCCATGGGGCACTAGCTAATGAAATAGTTGCTGGATTCTCTGTTAGTGCCATCTGTAACCATAAAGGAAACAGATTTTTGTGAATTCTAATATTTACTTATTTATTACATAGACCCTCTTCTTCACCCAATTGTCCCAGGATGAGTTACAAAAATACCACAAATAAAATAGGTGCAAGTTATATTGAGTATATTAAAATAAATATGCAAAATATGATCGGATCCTAAAGGACTACAGTTGGTGGGAAGCAATCTGCCCCATGGGATATGGCTTGGGAGCAGATGAGAGCATCTAAGATGCTGCTTGAAAAACTGGCAAGGCATTTTTTAATATTAAAAAAAAAGCTAGAGAAAAGAAATGAACATAAGAGCCCCACTGCATCAGACCAAAGGCCCATCTAGTCCAGCTTCCTGTTCTCATTCTCTCCACTTTTGCTTCCTGGCAGCTGTCCAGTATGAGAAGATCAATTGCCATTTCCCCATGATTTGGAGAATGATTTTGGACCTGCACCTTAGAGAGGTTTACCTATAACAACAATGAGACCTCACATAACCTCACATAACCTAAACAGTTTGGCATTGTGGTCTATTGATGATGCCAAAATTAACAAGCAGTACTTCTAGTACTAACAGTATTCATGGTCTTGAAATACTAATTTTGCCAGCTACGTTCCAAAGAGGACTCTCTTTTCTTCAAGTTCTTCCTCAGGATCAAAACGTAAATTGAAAGTATGTTGAGATTTTTAGGCTAGCATCGTTTGCATTAACCAGACTGTCTTCTTGTTCAAAGTCACCTTCCAGGGTAGGTATTTGACATATACCCAGAAGCTGATTAGTTTAACTCAGGAATGGCTAACCTACAGCCCTCCAGATGCTCCTGGACTAACATCACCCCTGATCATTGACCATATTGGCTGAAACTGATGGGAGTTGGGAGCCCAGCAGCATCTGAAGGGACACAGGTTCTCCACCTCTAGTTTAACCCTTTATTCATGATGAAACTATGAATTATTGCTGAGATGGACCTGAACCTTTTATGAAATGGTATTACAGAGCAACACATTTCCTCCGAGCAATCAGCTTTATGGGAATTTTCACATTTGAAAAAGTCAAGTGTACCCCAAGGGCATGTAGTTTGGTTTGTGTATGAAGGACTCATTGTCAAGTGCAGACTGGGATGGCAGACTCTAGACTCTAGAGCAGCGGTTCTCAACCTGTGGGTCCCCAGATGTTGTTGGACTACAACTCCCATCATCCCTGAGCTCTGGCCTTGCTAGCTAGGGGTGATGGGAGTTGTAGTTCAACAGCATCTGGGGACCCACAGGTTGAGAAAGGATGCTCTAGAGGGAAACAAGGCAGGTGAAAAGAAATGAAGAAGCTGAGAGAGCAGAGTGAATGCTGGACCAGAAGTCCAAGTAGATTCTTCCCTTCATGTGGGTGTGCTGTTGACGGTATATTTCCTATTTTTCACACCTGGCGCTTATTATGAGGAATCTCTGAACATCTATCATGGAACTTTTGCACACTGCTTTATTATATGTTTAGTTGTTGTTGCTTTTAAAAAAAAAACCCTGACCCTTTCTCCAAGCAGAAGGTAAATTATTAATTTATTTGCAGTGTTTATGTACTGCCCAATAATTAAGGTTCTCTGGGTGTGTAGAGTAAACATGGCCTCCTTGTTACCTTTTTATCCTCACAGTGATTCTATGAGGTATATAGTAGTATATATTCTATATTATAAGTTGTAGAATATAGTAGAATATTTTATATTCTACTATAGAATATTCTATATTCTACTATATTCTATATTCTAAGTAGAATATTCTATATACTAAATAGTAGTGATCGGCCCAAGATCTCCCCATGAAACCACTCTGGCTTTTGTGTTTCCTCACAATCTTAAGATCTCATGTTCATCTCCACAGCCCTCTCTCATTGCAACCACACATGATTTGTGGTATCTTCTACATATTTATTGTATGAGGCAATCATAGATAAGCAATTTAAGAATAGGGCATTACTTTCCTAGAGTTGACTTACTCTCTTTTATTTAAAAAACAACAACTCAACAATTTTGGGGGTTTCCTAAAAAAATCTCAACAACTTTTGGGATGTCCTGGTTTTTGCTTTTTGAAATATGGCACCCCTAAGCTACAATGAGAACTTCCAGCTTATATTATTTGCTGAACTTATATTGATCCTTAAGATCATCATATAGGTAAATGACAAGAGAGGCTACATTTTTATAATTTTAATATTGGACATGCAACACCATACATAGATGCTAATAATGGACTAGCAATATATAGCTCTTGTGGAAATGTTTAGAAATTGTTGCTAGCTACTCATTTTGTTACATACCTTCCTCTGAATGCCTCCTAAGGCATCCTTAACCTCCTTGTTTCTCAGGCTGTATATCAAGGGATTCAGTAAGGGGATGACAATTGTGTAGAACACAGCAAGGGTTTTGTCCGTGACATCTTGAAGAAACGATCCACTGCCAGAGTTTGGTCGGAAATGCAAGATAAGAATTGCCCCGTGGAAGATGGTAACTGCAGTGAGGTGTGAGGTGCAAGTGGAGAACGCCTTGAGTCTACCTGCCCTTGAGCTGATCCTCACAATGTTGATAAGAATGTACATATAAGAGACGATGACACTCAGGATGGTGGTTCCTTCTACAAGCCCAGCCTCAAAAAAAATCAGGCGTTCATTGATGTAAGTATCCGAACAGGAAAGTGATAAAAGCGCAGTGATGTCACAATATACATGATTGATTTCGTTTGATTGACAGAATGACAGCCTGAAGGTGAAGACTGTATGGAGAAGAGAGTGCAGAAGCCCAAGAGCATAGGACCCCACCACCAGAAGTGTACAGATTTTAGGAGACATGAGGACTGGATACAGCAGTGGTTTACAGATAGCCACATAGCGATCATATGCCATTGCAGCCAGGAGAAAGCACTCTGTGCTCCCCAGACCTATCACAAAGTACATTTGCAATGCACATCCAGTGAGGGAAATGGTCTTTTTATCTGCCAAGAGATTCACAAAAGTCTTAGGGGCAACCACAGAGGAGAAGCATGCATCGAGGAGAGAGAGGTTGCTGAGAAAGAAGTACATTGGAGTGTGGAGCTTGGGACAGGCTCTTATTAACACAAACAGTCCTAGATTTCCCACCAAAGTAGCAATATAAATAGCAAGGAAGACTAGAAAGAGGACAATCTGTAGTATGAGATTGTTTGTTAACCCTACAAATACAAACTCATTGATTATTACGGTGAAGTTTTTCTCTTTCATTGCATTCAGATTGTTTTATTCCAGAGCTGTAAAATAAAGAAACACGACAACTGAGAAGAAACGACCATTTATTCATCATGCACATGAGAAATCTATGCAATTCATTTGCCACCAGTGACTCCCTTGTTTTATTTAGACAAATATAGGAAGGATTTCTATCAAAGGTACCAGGTGCTTGGGGATAAAGGGAGTGTCTTACCTTCTTCTTCAGCTCTACAAAGGTATCTGCTATACAACATGGGGGCCTAATTATAGGTGGGAAAGGATGTGATGAAGATACCCACACAAACTAAGAATGTACCCCACACAGCTAGCACATCCTTTGTTAATGTAGGAAACTGGCTATACCAGGAAGCAATGTAGAAACTCTTTCAAAAATTACTTTTGGCATTGAAAGTGAATACCCTCCAGCCCAGAGGAAAACCATGCATCTTTTGGGGCTACAATCTCAAAGGAGCCAGGGGACTTGTGCATAAACACAGCACCCCAAAATGGGATGCCCCACTTAAATTGGGACAGTTGAGGGGTATGAAAGTGTGCCTTTGGTTCTGCTGCTACAAGAATGCCGCTGTTAAGAGTCTCTATTCCTGGGGGTCTTGAGAAAGAATATGTAGTCAAAGTTATGCAAGTAAATTCAAGAGTTCGACTGAAAACTTCCTCTCACTTCTGTTTTAAGTGTATAATCAAGACACTCAGAGTACATTTATGATAATCATTACGCATACTTGCAATTTTTACAGAAGCTATTTTGACTGTTAAGAGGGTGCCTTAGAAAAAATTCTGCACATTTTCCTTCCCCTTCTAAACAAAAATGACACTGCAGGATCTGGTATCTGTTACAGCTAAGTAACAACTCTGACTCTTGGATTGCTGAGCATAATCTTCTCTTGAGAACAATGCTTGGAAGGTACATGCACTACAATATTGAAGAAAAATAATCAGTGCAGAATGCTGATCAGCTGGCTTGCAGTGGAATCATGAAGCACTCTTTCCTTTCTCTGGAGAGCATAAAAAACCATAATTCTTTAAATGTATATAAGCCTGCATAACAGAGCGCATATAAATAATGCAAACAGCAAACCAAATAACAAACAAATAGGCAAAAAGCCTGCCACAAGAATCAGTCAAACATGCTTCAAAATCATCATTAGCAGAAGAAGTGCATATATGTGCCAAATTAAGCGCAAAGTTGGGGGAAAGTTATGCAGAAAAACAAGGTGTGTGGTTGCAGGAAAACAACACACTGACTCCTGCTTTCTTATATGTCTCTACTTACTCTTAAAGGAAACTGGGGTGGTAGAAGATCTGAAGAAATAAATGGAGAATGAAATTGCATCAATGGAACTTAATTCCAGAGAGAGAACTATGTTGGTCACTTGCAGTAAAACCCAAATAGAGAAATGTCATAATGAGCACAGTTATTGTACCCAGAAGCATTCTTAGACAGAGTCCACTTTGTCAGCTGCACGGAATGGCATGTATATATAACTGTAGAGCTTTTATTTTATCCCTACCACCCTCAGTGCTCCATGTCCTTGGAGAACTGCACAGAATTCATCGTTTTAGGAATTCATCTATTGGAAAAATGTGCTATACTCTCCCCAAGACTCAACCGCATTGTTTGTTTCTGATAAAAAATAATAATTCCATATGAAGAGGCAGAGCCTACCGAATACATTTTGGCACCTCAAATGGACCACAAAAAGTGCCCCCTCCCTGCTAGGGAAGAAGGAGTGAATAAAGATTAACAAAGGGGAAATAAAGATCTACACTGGGATCTGCTACCCCTGTGGATCTTGCCACCTGAGGCAGTTGCCTCACCTTGCTTCATGGGTGGGCCACCCTTGTGAAGAGGCAAAGAGAAGGGGAAGAGTATTGTTAGCCCTAAAAAAACAAACTTATATGAAGCTACAACCATAGCTGTCAACTTTTCCCTTTTCTTGTGAGGAATCCTAATCGGAATAAGGGAATTTCCCTTAAAAAAAGTGAAACGTTGACAGCTATGGCTACAACTGGAAGAATTTTGGGGGCATCATAGACTGGAAATGGATAATATTGTTTCATGAAGGAATCCCAATAACGTAGGAAGCCAAAGCCAGATCATTGGTTTATGTGAATGAATATTGGCATTGGAGGGCAGCAGCCATGTGCAGGACTATGCACTGACTGGCAGTGGCTCTCCAGGGTTTCAGGGAAAGAACCTTCCCAGCACTACCCAGAGATGCTGCACATTGAACCTAGGATATTTTGCAGGGGATGCATGTGATCTTCCATCAAATTCGCATTGACACTTTGTCACAATTTGTTTTTCTGGGAAAGGGTTGTAACTCCGTGGTAGTGCATCTGCCTGCAGAAGGTCCCAGGTTTCACACACACACACACACACACCCCAGACAACAATACAAAACAGCGAGATGGCAGGAATCAGGGTTGCCATATGTCCAGAATTTACCGGACATATCCAGAATACTGCAGTCGGAGTCAATGTCTGGGCAGAAATCAGCTAAATGTCTGGGAAAATCTGGATGTATGGCAACCGTGTTGGCAGTGTTTTTGCCGATTTCCTTCAAAAATAGTGCATTTTAAAAAAAGCATTTTTGCCAAAAAATAGCTCAACAGCTTTTCAGTTCGGATTGTCACTTTTTGAAATAGGGCAACCCTAGCAGAAATACAAAGTACTGGTAGGTACAAGTGCTGAAGAATGGAAATACGTGGGACTGAATTTTCTAATAATAAATATTGATATCCATTTTGAATTTTATCTCTTTTGTTCAAGGAAGGACCTGGGGGAGGAGGAGATTTAAGCAGCTGTGGGAAAGTGAGGACTTGCAGTCTCCATAACTGCCTCAAAGGGGCTAGGCCTCTGAAAAGTGTTGCTATGCTGACACCCCTGAGCAGACCTTGTTTCTTCTAATAAAGTTAATGTCACTTACTCTGTGTGATTTATTGCTGGCTAGCTTCTGACATAATGTCAAGCCAAACACTTGAAGAGGGCCTAATTGAGCCTCACAATAGAGGAGATAGGTTGACTGTAGAGGAGATAGAGGAGGAGATAGGTTGACTGCCCTTTTTTAAATTTTTCTATAGTCTAAAGTCATGCAAGCATTGTACAGTAAGAGAAAATAGGATAAAATATAAAAGAAACAAACTCAATGAACTAAAAGCAATAAAATCATATCTACAGTTATAGACACTGTAGAGAATGACTGAGGCACACATCAGGGAAAGCCTTCTTAAACTTTCTGCAGGCAGTGCAATGGCATCTCAGATACTTTTTGAGGTGGCTGGCAGACAGCAGCTCCTTCTCTCTCTGCTTCTCTCTGTGTGAAAGTTCTTTGTCACATCCACAGCCCTGCTGTACATCACAGGTAGGACAGGAGTTGGGAGCAAGAAGACTGTTGCACCCGCTTGGAACTGAACCAGGCGCAATGTTTTCATACGATAGTAGTAGCATTGGGAAGGGATCCCTTTCAAGACTTTCCACTGGTCACCACTCACAGCAATCCCATTGGTGATACTTCTGTCTGGCCATACATTTGGTGGATAGAAAAGGGTGCTCTGTGCCAATGGAATGATGTTGGCATCACTTGGCAGGCAGCAGGTGGGCAAGATGGATAGATGGACAACTCTGTCAAATCCAAGCCCTCCCTCCACCCTTGCAGAAAGGGGGCTTTGACTGCTTTATAAATTGCAATTTCAAAAAGAGCAGGATAAGCAGCATCCCAAAAGCTTCTTGCATACACCCCTACACCCCCAATTCCGCCCCCCACCCCTGTCAGCTTCCATGTCCCTCACTATAAATATATAACATGCTCAGTTTAGGACTGACAGGTACCTACTGCCATATAATGTAACACAACAGGGGAAAGGTTGGTAGGGGAGATAAAAGCACCCGTTCCTCTCTTCTGAAACTCCCCACTTCCAACAAAGTCTAAAGAGCACTACTGTCTGGAGCCCTGGGCAGAAGCAAACCTCTCAGGGTGTGGATAGGTTAGCAAGGATGTAAAATGCAGCCACCTAAAACTAAGGTAGTGGTTTCAACACAAACGGGAGTTTATCTAGATACACAGAAGAAATTTTGTAAATTAAAATCACACACTGTCAAATAATCTGTCAAGAGTTCCAGAATGTGAAGGAGGCGGGGGAGAAAATGGAGGTGGGGAAAAAAGAAGAAAATAGGTTGTTCAATCCTCAACAAATTATAGAAATGAATATGGAATGTGAAGTAAAAATAAAATCCCTTATAGGATGTAATTTAACCTTTCCAACACCTGTACCACTCTCCTCCCCCAATTATCTAGATGTAAAATGCTTAAGGCAGGCCCACACTAGTTTTTCTGACAGCTAATTCATACCCTCCACCAACATTACTCCAATTAAAATAAGGAGGTCCTATTCCAGAATGATGATGATGATTTTATTATTTATACCCTGTCCATCTGACTGGGTTGCCCCAGCCATTCTGGGTGCCTTCCAACATATATAAAAACATAATAAAATATTAAACATTTTAAGAAAATTTCCCTATACAGGGCTGTCTTCCGATGTCTTCTAATGGTTGTAGAGTCACTGATCTCCTTGGCTCAGGGGTTGGATGCCCTCTAACATTTCTCTGATGAAAATAGGGACATCCTAAGGAAAAGAGGGGTGTTCCAGGATCAAATCAGAAACTGGATCGGCTTTTGTAAATTGAGAACTGTCCCTGGAAAATAGGAGCACTTGTAGAGTTTGCTAATTTTCATGTCCTGAAACTAATCTCTTCAAGAGTTCTGAACAGCACTGAAAGGTTCCTGTTCCAAGTTGACTGAACAGGAGCACTTCTCATATTCCCTATGGCTTAGGGCAGGAGTGATGAACCTGTGATTCTTCAGACATTGCTGGACTATAACTCCCATCTTGCCTGATCATGAGTCTGATGG